CTTTTCATGTCCTACATAATGTGACAGTAATTTTACTATCTGTAATAACTCATTTCCCAACCTACTCCAGAGTGTTACTGCAATTTTATACCAAGAATATGAGAAGAGTTGAAAATTTTTTCATCAAGTCCCACTTGACCTAAGGTTTATTAGTGCATGAAGTTTGCTCTGAAGGTACTAAGCTTTAGTATCTTCTTTCAGTGATGCTGAGTTTGGGAATAACAGATGAAAATGTTGAATGGGAGTACCAATACCTGGATATTCACCCAACCCAGGGCACTTACACAAAGAAGCTCACTAAATTGTCTCTTGTTTAAAAGTATAAGTAATAACGAGGTTTGGAACCTCATGGCTGTAATCCCAGGAGCTCAGGAGGTTTTTGCAGAATGACCTTAATTTCAAGGCCAAGCTGAGCAACACAGTGAGTGCTAAGCAACTTAGGGAGACTCTGTCTCAAAATAAAAAAAAAATGGACTGGGGATGAGGCTCACTGGTTAAGCTCCTGGGTTCAATCCTTGGTACAAAAAAAAAAAATAGTAAAGGTAATCATCCTCTCAGAAGAGGGGTACACACAGAAATAATATGAAAAAGCATGTAAACCTACCACCCCAAACAACCCACAACACTTCAACAACTGATCTCATTGACACCACAGTGCAGAAAATATTGAGAATTTAGAAATTTCATAGTTAAAATGTTCAGTGAACTAAAAGAAGATGTAAGGATTTTAAAAATACAGGAGGTAAAAGATGATTTCAAGAAAGAGATAGATATTCTGAAAAAGAACCAAAGAGAAATCCTGGAAAGATTCAGAAAATCAAATTACAAATTAAGTGGAAAACATCACCAATAAATGACACAACTTTGAAGACAGATTTTTGGGTCTTGAAGACAAAGAATATTGTCAACAGTAAGACTAAGAATATTGTCAACAGTAAAGATGTTAAATAACCAGAATATTCAAGAAATGTGAGATAACAAAGGTAAGAATCATTGTCATAGATGAAGGCATCAAAATACAATAAATATAGGAGTGCACAAACTTTTCAATAAATATCAACAAATTTTCAAAACATTTAAGAATGAGATGAAAATCCAAATACAAAACCTATTTGAACATCAAACAAACAGGATTAATAAAGATCCTCTCCAATACACATTATAAGAAAAATACCTAATATACAGATTGAGGTTAGAATTTTGAAAGTCTCAGGATGAAAAAGGAAGTCATGTATTGAGGGCAGTGCAAATATTCCAAGTGGTTTTGCAAATTAGAGTTTCAAATGACTTCAGAGTTCAAACCCTTAAAGCAGGGAGTGCTTGGAATCATATATATTAACCAAAATTAACAAATCCAGCAAAAATTGTCCTTCAGAATTGAAAAGGAAATAAAAATCTTCCATGCTAAATATAAAATAATTCATATAACCAGAAAGCCTGCACTATGACATTTACTCAATGAAATATTTCATGCAAAAGAAAGATAAGAATCAGAACAAGCAGAAAGATGAAACTCCCTAGAAGAATAGTCATCTAAAGGAGAAGCAAGTCTGAATTAAGTATTAGAAATAAATGAAAATGGCTGAAAATAAAAATCACCTCTGCATATTCATATAAATATTAATCCTTTGCATGGCATGTGCTTTGACCCTGAAATTTTGTAAACATTACCACAAAGAGGTTGCTAACACAAATTCAAATTGGTAAGAACAAACTGACAAGGATTCCAAACCCCATTATTCCTCTCAGTACTATGAGGCAGTTCACTGCAGAAAGAAATGGGAGCTCAAGGTGTGTGAATTTTACCCTAGTGGCCCCAGGTCAGGGGTCAGGTACCTTCTTTACTCAGAGTAAATGGCATCTGCTCTACATGGTCCTCCTCTCATATTCGCCTGCTTCATGCCTACAGGTTCTGGCCTCACCCTCCCAGACTACTTGTCAGTGTTGCAAGTCCCTCGTTCCTGGTGACTGCTGGGGCCCAGCTTTATGAAGCTTGCTGCAATCAGTCTGTGAGTACTAACAGCCTCTTCACTGGTGGTCACTGTTTCCCAAATACTCTGTGAAACTGGAATATGCTGATTTGGAGAAAACTTCACCTAGACTCTGACACATTCTTGCTCAAACATCTATTATTCTCAAAACAAACAAAAGCATTTTATTCGCTTACACTTTTACTTTTAAGAAATAGTTTGTGTTTTGTGGATGCATGAACTGACATACATTTCCACTTGATTTGGAGATACCAGTAGTTTAAAAACACTTCAAATAAATTGAAGAAAGGCCAGTAGATTAGAAGCATGGGAAAAGGGATAGGAGGAGAGTAGGGAAAGAAGTAGTACTGGGGACTGAAATGGAGGCAATTACTTTCTATGTATGTATGATTATGTAAAAGGAAAATTCAATATTATGTGTAAGACATTAACAAAAACATTCAGAAACCTCTTCCAAACTTGTGGTTATTTCTTTCTTTTTACTACTATTATAGTTTCACTTGCCTTCTTTTTTCCTTATTTAAGATTGATAAGGGACTGGGGTTGTGGTAGAGTGATTGCCTAGCACATGTGAGGCCCTGGGTTTCATCTTCAGCACACATATAAATAAAATAAAGGTATTATGAACATCTGCAACTAAAAAAAAAAAAAAAACATTAAAACAGGTTGTTAAGCTGTGTACAGTGGTGCATTCATGAAATTCTAGGGATTACCCAGGCTGAGGCAGGAGAAGTCCAAAGTACAAGTGTCCTGGGCAAATTATTGAGAACCTGTCTCAAAATAAAGAAACTAAAAATAAGACCTGGGACTGTTCTCAGTGGCAGGTGCCCTGGGTTCCATTATCATTGTGGATGGGGAAAAAAAGAAGATTGAGACCCACAAATTTAATGATTATTTGAATTTTTATCAATTTATTCCTGATATTACATTTCTAAAGTCATTCATTTCTTTCATTGTTAGTAATATTTTTGATACTTTAAAGATGGAAATGTTTTTGTCACTCTTGCTCATCTCTTAACATAAATACTAAGATGTCTATTTTAAGTCTGTCAGGTTTTTGTACAATACCTGCTGTGTCTTCTGACTCATCCTGTAGTGGTCCTTATACTGGTATACCTGTGACTAAGAATTTCTTTTTGGATATTCTCTCTCAGAGTGGCTTTATGCAGGGGAAGCCCTTCACTAATAATCTCAGCTAGATATTTCATGACCTCTATATCCTTTCTGAAAATTCAAATTCTCTGAGCCTTTCAAGCAGAGAGCTGTGACCTGTCACAAATGAATAACCTACTATTCCTCCTGTGGTTTGTCTACACTACATGGGTACTCAACCAGTTGTCAAGTTCTCTCTTGTTCTCAGTGGCCTCTATTTTAGATCTCTATGTCACAGGAGACAGAAAGCCATCACCTGAAAAACCAGAATGACAGTGTCAAGAATGGGGACAGCCAGATCTTATGCTCCAGGGCTCCAGCCAGAGCCATACTCCTGTGCTGACTTCCAGCCTTAAAGAAGCAGAGTGGGGAGGGGATCATCTGCTTGGAATATAGTCAAGGGATCAACCAGATTGGACAGTAAACATTTCATCACCGCTATGGGCAAAGTCAGAAGCTCTCACTGAAGTTCTGGATTATGTAGGTTTTTGAACAATGTGGAAGGATGAGGAAGTGGGGATCCTCTGTAATGGTGGTAATTTAATTTCCTGCCTACTTAGTGGGAAGGGTATTTAAACTAATTAAATTTTATTTAGTGAAAGAATGGGACAATCCTCACTGTTATAAATTTGGATCTTGAATGTCTCCTAATGGCCCACATCTTGAAACTCAGTCCCCAGCCCAGGGCACTTTTTGAAGGTGGTGAAATGTTTTGTAGGTGTGGCTTATCAAAATGCAGCTAAGACATTGGAGATGTACTATTGAAGGGGATATTGGAATGCTGGGCCCTCCTCTTCTTCTTTCTTTGCTTCCCTGCTGCTATGAGGTAAGCAACTTCTCTGTCACATACTTCTCCTATGATACACTGTGTGCCACTAGAGGCTCAAAGGCAAGAGGGCCAAAAGACCAAGAATTTCTATCCTCAAGCCAAAATCAACCTTTCCTCCTTATTATTGATTATTTTGTCATAGTACTTGAAAGCTGATTAACACAGTCATACCCCATATTATATTAAAATGTAATACATGATTTTAGAGGCAAGAATGAAGAAAATGATGTTTCAGGAAGTTATGTATTCAAGGTCACTA